GGGCACCCCCTCCAAGAAGCCTGTGGCCGACTACTTCCTGTGACCCCTTTGTCCTCTGCCTCCCACCCCCCTCCAGTCCCTCTGGCCCTTGGACCACTGTGACTCTACCCTCTTCTCCAGATGGAGGCTGGGCATGGGGGGCTGTCCCCAGCGCTGCTCTCCCTCAAAGAGGGCACTTCGAGGGTGAGGACGTCCTCTGGAGAGGCTCGGAGCCTGAGCTCCATGCTCCTCTCCTTTCTCCCCATCTGAACCATGAAGTTTCCAATAATTTTTGTTTTTCTTTTTTTCATTTTTTTTGGTTTGTTTTTAGATAAAAAATTTTGAGAAAAAGAAAAAAATAGTAACAGGAGGACCTGTTATTAGATCTGGAATGCATCTTTTCCAGTGTGAGATCTCTATTTCCTTTTCATCTGGGTGTCCAGAAGGACCTTGAATATAAGTAGTATTTTTCAATGTCTGAGAATGTTCCCAATCTTTCAGCCTTAGTCATGTTATTCAATAGTTTCACTTCTTTATTATTATTACTTTTTTATTTTTATTGCTTTCAGAGAGGAAGGGAGAGATTTACTTCTTTTTTTTACTTCTCCTTTTATTTCCTATTCCAAATGTGCTTGTTTTTCTTTCATAGACATAATTTCTGCTGATGCATTATACATGCACTCCTCTAGTTTACTCATTTGTTACCACTATTCAGATGATAGGTATGAGAATTATAAACACAAGGAGATAAAGGGCAATCACTGCATCTTTGAAGGGTTTCAGTTGCTCTTGAAAGACAGGGTCGTTTTTAGGATTCAGAGGTGGCAAAGCTATCACTGAGCATCAAACTTCCCAGCTATCAGAGTCCTCCTGCTGATCAGGAAAGCTATCTCATTGTTACATACTTCTGGAGTAGAAGAAGGAGCATAAATTTGTAAGGATACTTAAATGGTCATTTTAATGAATTGCTAGAACCTGAGTAAGAATTGGGAGACTCCTGGTGCTACATTCTTAGGGGTGGCCCCAAACTTTCCTGGGTTTTATCTTCAGGAATCCCACCAGGTTCTTATAATGGTATTTTTTTAAATAATCGCAAAAAAATATATTTTCTGGCTGCACCATCAACATGTAATTCCTCCATTTGATAAACATTTAGCTTGAACCCATTTAAGGTCAAATAAAAAGAAAAACAATAATGTATAACTTAGGGATAGTTACCAGAATAGAATGTCAGAGCTAAATAACCTTTCAGATATATCTAACCTTAGAAGTCTATAATAATATGAATATTGTTATGAAAATTTTAATAGGTACTTCTTTCTGATATTAGGTCAACATATTTTGTGATTGAAATGGTATGGTAAAACTTTCCCAATGTATATCCACTATCTTAAGAATTCTGAATATACTGAATACAAAATGGAATACAAAATCTAATTTAGAAAAATAATAGTATTGAACTTACTCAAAAATATTTATAAGTTGTTCACTTGGTGCAGTTTTCAGCCCAGTCACAATACTCTGTAACCGGCTCACACTTTGAGTGGCTGAAGCAACAGGAGTAATGATAGCTTCTTTTTCTCGTAAATATCGCCGTCCTGTCAGGGGGGTTGAAGGTGCAAATGATGTTTTCTGTCAAAAAAAGAAAAATCTGTGAGGTTAAAAAGTTACCTTCCCCCTCATTATGTATTTAATTCAGTATGTATATCATCTTCTCTATTCAAATTTAGTAGGCTACTTTTCCCCCTCCTCTTCTGGTTATCCACCAAATTTTTAGCAATATCATGTTAATAACATCCTTAAATTTGAGTAACACTTTTTCAAAGCATAATCTCATTTTCTCTTCCTAACATTCACTTAAAAATAACATACATTTTCATTTTACTTATGAGACAACAGGCACAGAGAAGTTAAAAACCCTGTTTAAGCAGAGCTGATCTTCAACCAGTGTGCTGCAAGAATTTTTAAAGCATGCAATACCTGACTATTTAGTCAGGGACACTGATGTTATTTTCTTTAGATTGTCAAATTAAAAAAATTATAACTGCCCCTCCCCCCAAAACTGACAACAGCCAACACAACAAATACTGTCCAGCGTGAATGCCCTGCCTTGAACCATAAATATATAGGTATATAACAGAGTTCAACGCACTGGCCACATTGCAAAAGGTTGTATCTGTTTAATTATACCAGAAATCCTTATATACAAGTATAAGCACCTGATTTTTTTTTTAAAAGCCACTTTGGAGCAAAAAGGGTAGGCAATTATTATTATTACTAGCGGCCCAGTGCACGAAAATTCATGCACTTGGGGTGGGGATGGGGGGCGGGGAGGGGTCCCTCAGCCTGGCCTACTCCCTCTCGCAGTCCGGGACCCCTTGGGGGATGTTCACCTGCCGGCTTAGGCCCGCTCCCTGGGGGATCAGGCCTATGCTGACAGTCAGACATCTCGCTGGTAGCCTGGGAGCCCTCGGGGGATGTCCAACTGCCAAGGAGGTGGGAGAGGCTCCTGCCAGCACTGCTGCGCTAGCAGCCGTCAGCTCAGCTTGTGGCTGAGAAGAGCTCCCCCAGTGGGAGTGCACTGACCACCAGGGGGCAGCTCTTGCATTAAGCATCTGCCCACTGGTGGTCAGTGCACATTATATCGACCAGTCGTTGCACTGTTAGGGTCAATTTGCATATTACCCTTTTATTATATAGGATTTTTTGGTAAATCAAAAATATAACTAATATTTTGATCAGATTGGCAAAAAATTTATTTCTTTGGTGTGCTACAGAATTATACTGATTAGTTTATGTGTGCCATGAGACAAAAGGTTGAAAATCAGTGTTCTCGACTAGTGACTTTTCCATTAAATCTTATCCTCCAATCCATTATATACAGAATTAAGCCTTGGCTATTAATAATCAAGTCCAGAGTTTTATAGCTGAAGCACAGGAAGAGCACATAGTTTATCATGGGTAGGAAAGCAAATTAAATTTTAAAGCAGTGGAATAGTGGCTAGTGATAAAAAGATTAGGAAGAAAGCATAAATCCTTTATGTCAAGACACATTCTCTACTGTAAAACCCAGGCATTCTGGGAAAATATATACAAAATATGAAAAATGGTAAGAAATGTGGTAAAAATACTAAATGCCATAGTTTTAAAAAATTACCTTTTAAGGCTTTCATGGGAAATATGAATTAGTAGAAGAAACCCAAGATTTAGCTTGAAAGATGCTTCTGCTGTTAGTAGAATCATACACAGAAAGAAAAAGATCATTCAAGACTGAGGCCAGTCTAGGTTATATTACTTTTTCAAAGTGTTGTTGAAGGTTATATTCCACATTAGCCTGTGCTGTCAGTTTCCCTAATGGGGTGTCACCAGCAAACTTTCGAGGAGTTCCAATTTCCTCATCTGCATCTGCTCCCAAAAAGATCCGTTCATCAAAATCACCAACAGTTAAAACATATTCTTCATACTCCTTGTTCACTGCTTTGCTGAAAAAAAAAATTACTTTAAGCTGCAAGAATAAAACCAAGTAACAGAATAAAACACAATGGATTTATCTTGATTTGAAGATAGATTTAGACTTCACAGTATGGAAAAGCTGATGACTTTCTAGTGTTGTTACTTTTTTTGAAAATATATTTTTTTACTGATTTATAGAGAGAGAAACACTGATGCGAGAGCGAGACATCTATCAGCTGCCGCCTGCACCACCCCTACTGGGGATCAAGCCTGCAATCTGGGCTTGTGCCCTGATCAGGAATCAACCAGCAATCCCTTGGTGCATGACAATGCCTACCCAACTGAGCCACACTGGCCAGGGTGACTTCTTATTTTTATTAAGTCTGCTCATCTAATGATATCAGAGGCTCCTACCTGATGACCATTCTTCACATTCACATACACAGCAATAAATTACTTTGAAAGGTGAGTGAAAGAGAATATATACTTAATCTGAAAACTAGTTGAACCTAATTAAGATACTGAAGCAATAATGGCTTTGAAATATAAGCACTTTCTGAATTTGCCAACATTTGATTAATAAAAACTCAAATACAGAAGACATTGGGCCTGTTTATAACTTTCTCTGGAAAGTAGCTGTCAAGTACCAATGGTTCCCCAAAATAAATATAAAGACAACAAGGCTTGGTGACAATACCCACTCAATGTCACTAGAGCAGTAGGAACTTGAATATAATGTTTCACTTAATAAATTGCAACAAATTATTATTGACAGCCTATAATATATTAGATACCATTAGTGGTAGATACTTACCTATTATCAGTAAAATTGGAAAAGTCCAGGAGGCATTCTCCTTTTAAAATCTAGGAGGAAAAAGTCATTATGTGACATCATATAATTGAGCATATTAAACACACACATAAAAAGAGTATTTATCTAAATTTTCACATTGGCAGTTGTCATAAATCATACAAACACAAAATTACTAAATATTTATTTCAGACCAGTAAAACTAAATCAGCATGCAAACAAAATATTAAAAACCATTTAAAGTCAAGGTTTTTTTCTTCTTTAAAAAGAAAATTGCCTTTTAAAATTTACTATTATTTTAATACGTTTTTATTGGTTTCAGAGAGAGGAAGGGAGATAGAAACACTGATCAGCTGCCTCCTGCACACCCCCTACTGGGGATTGAATCCACAATCCAAGCATGTGCCCTGACCAGGAATCAAACCAGTGAGTGACCTCTTGGTGCATAAGATGACTGAGACTCAACCAACTGAGCCACACCAACCAGGCTAAAGTCAGTTTTGAAAATACTTTAAAATCAGTCTATAGCAGAGGTTTCCAAATTTTAGTGATATACGAATCATTTAAGAGAACTTGTTTAAAATGCAAACTGATGGAACTCAAGGCCTGGGCTGAGGCAGCATTTTCAGCAAGTTTCCATAGTTATTCTGATGAAAGCTATCCAATTTTAAACACTTGTCTATGGTGAAAGTAAACTAACATATATTGAATGTGTTAGACAAGCAAAAGATTCAAAGGAAACATATGTACTATCATTGGTGAGAGGAAAACTATACTGTTGTTAATACTTTTGTGTATTCACACTACTTAAGATTATTACACATCAGGAGTTGTAAACTCAAATGCCCTAAGGGTCAGGGGTCAATATACATAAATGATGAGAGCAGAAAGGGTATTTCCCATCTTCAAAGAAGTGACCATCATCTAGCTTGACAACAGTTACCCATGTAAAGTCATGTAGAAATTCCAAACCAATATTGCTATAGCTTCTGATTTTTGAAAGGTTTTTATATATAAGGTCTTTATCTGGAAATTAAAAATTGAAC